ATGCAAAAAATAAAGTTAAAATTCTTTTTTTATTTCTTAAATTTATCTTTTTTAAAGAAAGGCGTCTTACTGACTGAATTCCAAAAAAATATATATACATATACAATTTCCTACCAACTCTAATTATATTATTTCAAACAATTTCATTGGTTATATTGCGTGAACTCTATATAGCTTTACAAAAATGACAAGAAAATCCCAACTTTTAGAGCCTAAGTTAGTTTTCAAAAATTTTCAAATTTTAGCTATTTCCTGAAAAATCCTCTGCACTCATCAGCACAGACTTCACGATTCCAGAAGACAAAGGATCTAAACTTGAGATATAATCCGGCACTGCCGAAAAAGTAGCCAAGGGCTCATGTTTAATGCGCTCGAAGGTGGGCCCTCTACCCCCTGTTACTATCAGTGCTCCTTTTTACGGGTATTTAAAGCTAATTAAAGCTACACAGAACTGAGAAAAGTCAAAACAGACGTGGAGTTCCTGAGGATCGATCTATGGACCTCCAGCTCTGAAGGCCGCGCACTAACCAACTGAGTTACGCCTGCTCCTTATTATAAAGTTTGCTCCTTTGCTAGCATTCAGTCAAGGGCAAACACTTATCCTCTCTTATTGAGCTGGTAAAATTTCAATTGTTCATTTTTTTGATAATGTCATGTCTCCACGGCAAGTTGCTGCAACATCGCCTTCTATCAAGTGCTTTCGTTTTCTTTTCCACTTTGCACAGTTGACGTGCCTTTCTGCTTTAAACATCTTGCAACACACTAGAGGAAGCCCAGTCCACCATATATGCTATTTTCAGTTGTGCAATTGTGTCCTCTCCTTTTTCCTTTTCCTGCATTTCTACCATTTTTCATGCCCCCATAGGTATGGCCAGCTGAATGTTAAAGTGTATTCAAGCTTAAACTTACTTAGTCTCGGAAGCCTGTGTCATACGTGGAGGGAATTCCACTTACGTATCACGGTTTTCTTCAAAATATCTCGAAATGAATGACAAGATTTCGGCCCCAGTATGGACTGTGTTGATAAGGTGGTTCCCTCGATGACATTCATGGTGATACATATAATAACACATTTTGTCTCCGTACCCTTATCTCAAGATCGATGGAGAGTGRTGAAAGACCGTAGAAGCAAAAACATTCCAATTTTAAGGTCACGCTTTATCGTATTTACTTAWTGTTCCTGGTTCTCGTACGTGTAGTATAAATGCCCTAAGATGGCTCTGAGAAAGTCTAAAATAGGGCAAAAGGAACCAACGAGCACATTGTGCTTGCTGAGTTATACTGGTATCCCTGRTGATTGATAYATCATGCCTCGGGAACTGTGGAGGAAATCCCCTGTGGGTGTTGAAAAGATACTTAGGTACCATAACCCCTTTTATACTAGCACCAGGTTTCCTCGTCATCATCGAACATTCCAAATATACAATACGCACTACGTCCRCTACGAACAGCTTGTGAAATCTCTTCATTGATCTGATTGATGATCTCCTTAGATCTTTGTTCTTTGGGATCTTCCGGCCTCGAACGAGCATAAAAATCACTCGATGCAGCAAGAGAATGACGAGGGCTGCTYTCAGCAGATTTAATGACATCTGGGAAGGGGTCGAGTCGAAGATGRTTGCGGATCTTGGTTCGATGTTCTTCGAGGTTTCCTGGATCGAGCGTCAGCGGTGATGATCTATGTATCCGCACAATTGGTGGTGAGTGAACGTCTGAGGACGACCGAGACTGCGAATCTGTTGAACTGTTCGTCTCATTACGGGCATCCTCGATTGCCTAAAAAAATATGAGATGGTGGCAGACATTAAAAGTAAATTAATGATACTACTCTTACTAGGTTGGATCTCATTTTGTGTAATTAAATAATATTGAATAAGACTTTGTTGTAAACGTTTGAAAAATATTTGCAATTCTCAATACTAGAACAAAATTATATTGAGAACAGACCTTTTTAGCTTGGGCATAATGTCTACCCRTGGCAGACGTGTCATTCCCTAGAGATAAGATTCTTTGTTTGAGTTTTATCCATGTTCATAAGCCTTTTCATGTACAGCCGTTAAACAAAGAAATTATACGTTTGGGAATGACACGTGGTCTGAAATGGAAAAAAAATATGGCGCCCAAGCTAGAGGACGATCCAGGGTTATTCCATCATGCATTGCGGGCGACATATATATATATTTTTCTTATTTAAACAGCTAAACTTAATATTTTCGAAATTTGAAAAAAACAACAACAAACAATTGTACTTAATTAAGTCATACCTTTYAGCGTGATCTGTTTTCTAAATTATTYGAGAAAGCTAGAGATACTCGTSAAAATACTGGAGAACTTTGGAAAATTTTCAGGTTCAGTACATATCTTACAACTGGCTACTTTTATTTGCCTATTTAGTCGAACATGTTTTCATCAAATGCTACAACAATACCTAAGTATTCTTATTATCAATAGTAGAAGCATCATTTCAAAAACGATGCAAGAAAACCGGTTAAARCCAAAGAAACAATAATAGGCACGCAAAGGCACTTGGGATAGCCCTGGATCGTCCTCTTCACCCAAGCTCAARAGGTCTATAGACCAAATGCAAATCTATCACCGATGTGAGGCTTAAGTTCTGAACAAAGGGATCTGGTATGATTCGTGACTTTTGAATCCCGCCAGATTGYTTTGAATCACGCCAGATCCCTTTGTTCACAACTTAAGCCTCACATCGGTGCGAGTTTGCATTTGGTCTATTGCCACCAGTATTGCACGGAGTCCATATGGAAAACCCTCAAAACTAGCCATTTAGTTGTTCAAAGTTAATTCTAAAACCGAGACCGGCTGTCACAGTAGTCGTACACGGAGTAATTCTAACCAGACTTTGAACAGCTAGGCCCTGTAAAGTAGGGGTCGCATTGCTAAAAACATTGTCTTGAGTGCGTTGTTTAATGCGTCAATTAAACTGTTAACATTAAGCAAACCCACTCTTTTGACYATACAGCCCTGTCATTCTTACTGAGTGCACACTTATACTCGTCAAAATGTCTGCCCTTTAATGTAGATCATGCACAGTAATAATTATAATTGTTACGTCACAATGCGACCACTTACTTGGAAGGACTGACATGACTATAAAATGGGTTTATGTACCTCCTTAAAGTTGTAGTTAGATTCGGTGAATAAATTCACATTTGTTTTGGCAGAATTTAATAAAAGTGTTCAAAACATGTCAATTGTAATGTTTAAGGTCCTTTTTTTATGAAGATAGTGTGACCCTATTGCTTGGAGTGCTCTGGGAAAAGAAACCAAACATTGCTTTCCTAGCTATAGGGTCACAGTTTTCCATGAAAACAGGACAAAGAAAAAATATAAAATATAAAAACAAACGTAAAAAAGCATAAAACGCATAGGGCAAATACATTTATCCTGCCTCCTCCCTTCTCCCCCCCAAAAAATGAAAATCGGGTTTAGGTGAGTACATAATTGCAAATTAAATAAATACGTATACGAAACAGAAAATAAGAAATTAAGTGTAATAGGAAATGGAAGGAAAACAAACTAAAACAAAGGAAAAATATAAATAAACTAGTACCAAAATAAAAAGCAAAAACCATTCCATTCCTAAAAAAGATCAAAAAGAAATTAAGAAACACAAAAATGAAATATCATAACTAGACATSGAGCAGATTTCGCGAAACTTGTTGCCGCACTGCCATCCTGAAATGGCTTCTAGTTTAATGATCATCCTATATGGATATAGAATACAGTTTCTCTTTGCTGTTCAACTGATTTAAAGAGAAAGCGCTACTTAACCATTTCAGAGTCACAGTACCACAGGTTTCTYGCCAGTGAAAATTCTGCGTTAAGATTAGAAGCATTGTGTTGGGCTAGCATAGATTGCATTAGTCTAGCAGTGACTTATACCTCGATTGTTAGCCCCAATGCTGTCCCTTTTAAAACGCAGAATGGAATTCTCTTGAAAATCGTTTTCTTCGATTCTTCTTTGCCTAAGGGAAGATATGTTCGAGAGAAACAGCCTAAAGAGGACTTCTAAACGTGAGGACAACACTTGAGACTTCCGGGAGGTACCATCAGTCCTTGCTCAAACTAAACTTAGGTATGTCTTAAGGTTAGCTCATTATTTTAGTTCATGTTACGCTGTTATTTAATTAAGATGTATCCTCGAACTATTCTATGGTATAGGCATGTGATATCCTTTGCTACAAGCGAAACAAAAYAATAAATCGAATTCGCCTCCCCGAAGTTCAAAGGAAGCCTGGTAAAGACCTCCGTGAGCAGAGGACTGTGGAACTCAATTTGTGGGCTTCGTAATAAACCTTTTGCAACAGTCAGCAGTCACGTGCTGATATATGACTTTGCTAACGAATCAATTCAGCCAAAGGTCCTTTGGGGAAGGCTCTGCTGGATGGCAAACAAACTTTAAACTCATTCGTATCTTGAAATCGAAAGTAGAAAGGGGAAAAAAGTATTTTTAAAGAGGTTTTGGATACGACATTAGTAATGCAGCAAAAAAACTTTAAATAAAGGAAGTCCAAAGTTCGTCCAGCAACAATAACGTGTCAATCTATTGCAAAAGGCCTATTGTGCGTTACAAATTCAGTTCCACAATTCAAAGCACCAACACATCTTTACAAGTTTTCCTCTAAAGATTTAGAAAGGCAAATAAAAAATTAGACAAAATCGCTCTCAAATAAATTAGCGTGTAAAGTTAATCATGATAAAGTTGAGTGGATGAGTATAAAAAATCTTGCAAACAAAATGATTAATGATTCTCGTTATAGATTATTATTATTAATGATTGCAATAAGGGTCACGTAGTAAGATCAGTTGTTATTATACATAATGTGATTATTAGCAATGAACAAGGGAACTGATGATGCTTTGGATAGAAAATAACAGTACTAGTCTGATAACATGTAATGGAATATCACAATACTCAATAATGTAATTGAACATTTTAGCTTGGGCGAAATGTTTTCCATCTGATTTCAGATAACTAGTCATTGYCTAGAGTTTGGTTTTTAAGTTTAACCGTCGCGTGCATGAAAAGACACAACTCAAAAAAAATCTCAATTTTGAGAGAATGACACGTGATCTGAAATGGGAAAACATTAAGGCGAAGCTAGAGATCCTTGCAGGTGTTTTTGATAAATGATATCACCAAGACTGGTAGTGGCTATGAAACAGCCTTTCCCAGATTTAGAAAAAATGGGGGGAGGGGGTAACACAAAAGGTAAATATTATTTTTAGAAACCATGTTCCGATCCCACTTGACCTTTTTCTTAATTTCTTTTTGTTGTGCCAATAAGTGTTCTGCTGTATCATCATTCTTTGGGTGAACTTAGTTGTGAATTCAAACGTCTATGGACTTTAAAGTTATTGTTGGAATACATGCTTTAATGCCCGAAAAGGATTGTAAAGAAAAACCAAACAAAAAGTGAGCTAGRAAACGGAAGAGATATCAACATTTGATGCATATGTGATACGATGCATGCCGTTTTATGAAAGTAAGTCATTCGATTATTAGAATGTTGCAAAAAGTTTATAGTTAGTAGTTTTGACTTTACAGCTTTRCTATCACATGCTGAAACATGCAAATTAGCTAGCGGAATCTGGCAGTATGGTCTAGACATAGTTTTTGTATCTTCTCATTGAAATTCTCCAGAAAATCTTTTCGTCCCGGGCCCTATTTTAGGCACATCTTTTCACAAGTCAACCGTTATCTTTCATCGACTTACATATTACCCCTAAGCTATAATCAGTTGACCTGCCTGCAAATTGTGAACGGTTTGGGCATGTGCWATAGCACCCTCTAATTCGTGTGAACAGGGTGACTTTTCAAGCTTTGTAGGATTTTTTTTTTTTTTTTAGACTTTGTTTTATTTAATTTTTTTGAAATAAGATTTTTAAGGCGCCCAGTTTTCGTTTTTAAGAGTTCAATAAGATGTGGTAGCATGCGCGATAACGTTTCAAAACCAAAGTCTGTTTCTTCTTGACTTCTGCGCACWCTTTTAAACCACGGTTGTTCTTGTGTCTTATTGACTTTCCAAAACAGCTTCAGGATTTGCAAACGTCAACAATGGCCAATTCAAAAACTACTAGTCAAACATTTCGTTAAAAAATGACAACATTTTACTACACTAAGTTTGTAAAAATGACAACATTTAYACTACGACTGCAAAAACATGTATCGAATCAATAATTTTCAGACAAAAAACTTCATAAAAGCTTTAGACATTGTCATCTCGTTACCCTGAGGTTTGCCGCTGTGTTGCAGCCAGAAAAAATATCATCTGTAAGATTATCAGAACTTACCACAGGGTTTTTGTAGCTGTATTTTACCGGCTTGCGCTTCCTACGAGTGGTTTCTTTTGGTTCATCATCTTCGTTATCTGTACTAATGATGGTAGGATTGATGTCTGTCAGATCCATTGGTGCATCCTGAATAGCGTGATAGAAAACGAATAGAATTGTTTTTTTTTTTCTTCAATACATTTTTTTAGTATAAAACTATTGCATAATCGATCGGGGGAAATAATAACCAAAAGAGTTTGCCATGGCCATGGAGCTAATTTTAAAGAATCAAGGATGGTGTAGTTGTATAGCACTCTACATTCAGTTTACCTCTAGTATGGTCTATAGATGGATCGATTTCTAGACTAACAGTGGAGGTTCTCGTCCGGCTGAATGCGTTTTACATTTACGACCAGTAGAGGATTCTACGGGCTGCATATTAAGGCGCTATAAGCAGCCGTGCAGCTTACAATCATGAATGATGTGTTAGTACATTAGTGTTATGCCTCCAGACAGGGATAGGCTGTAGAACCGGGAGATAACACCCTACTCTTATACGAATAATTCAASAGATTMTTTTATGTCCCCCATTTTGCTTCAGGTTAAGAGCAGTTGGGAGACAGGGCCTACGATTTAAAGTCCTTATCCGAGAAGACTTGAAGGTCTAACCATTTGCAGATATTATTACAAAGGCAACACCTTCTCCTCAGTTATTTTAAGAYCCTGAGTGTTGGTCCKGCCAAGGCTTGAACCACGACCTCCCGCACAACAGACGCTCTTACCAACTGAGCTAACCGGGTGGCGGTTAACATGTGCGTTATAGCAAGTTTGTTTGATCTCTCTAAAACCTCAAACATGTGAGTTAAATTAAAGGTAAATTATACACCGTGAAAAGATGAAAAAACTTACTGACGTTTCGGACGCTAGTCCYTCGTCGGAGTAAAAGAGAGAGAAGTGGTAGAAAGGAGTGTATATATGATAGAATAAGACAAAAGAAACCAA